CTTAAGCGACCAAACGCGCTTTGTGGCGCTCAACAGAACCATTAGAATTATATTTTGTCTTGTAAACCCACTTACAACCAACTACATTTTTAGTGTCGTCCCAAGGTACTAGTTCCCAAGTCTTATTTGCAAGTAATGCATTAAATTCATCTGCCATGACAGCCCGCCAAATAGAATATTTTTGAGCTTGAGAAAAACAAGCAGGATCATCTGGGGGCGAAAACACACTTAAATTAAAAATGCTTTTAGGCTTACAGATACCATCTTTGGCTCAGGTTCTCATAGGATGAATATTGATTGGAGGGGCTGGACTTTCGGGAGAAGAGTGTAACACCCCCTACCCGGCCCGGAAGGCTCGGGCAAGGGAGCGCTACCCGCAGTGCCGAAGCACCAAAGCGTTGACTGACTTTTTCATTCTCTTTTTCATTATTCCAAAAACACTTTTATTTTAAAAGTGAACTAATAATGATAATAACTTTATCCAATTTTATGTTTGCGGAAGCATTCATATTTTACACATAATAATTAAGTAAATGTTAAATGTGCTATTACATCATACTAGTATGATAATTACATATTTATTATGCAGACTAAATATGAATATTACTAAATGCAAGTGTGACTTTGTGGTGATTGGCAGGTTGCTCCCAAATGCTTTCCTCCTTGAACTTTGTGCCTCATATCGACTAGGTACCTACGCGAAGGACATACAAAATCCAACGCGCTAAGCAAATCTTGCTTAGTGGTGTTCATTCTTTCTCTTTACAATTTCGTGTCAAATATCACATAGTAAATCAACAATTAAAAATGACATTGCAAATATACTATATTGCAAAATATAAACTTAATCCATTTTGTTCCCAAATAGCTATTTAGTAATATAATAAAAAGTCAACTCTTTCGTTGAAATCTTTAATAACTTATAATTCACCCCTAAATTCTATGTCTCATAATCAAATATTCAAAGTACAAGCCCTATTTGTTATAGTAGCATGTTAACCTTCGTATATCAGGAATAATACAAAATCATCAAGCAAATTAGTTATTTCAAAATATATATCATATCACTTCGTTCGTAGTAGCTAGTTCATTATACTGCATTTGTTCAAAGTAGTTATTCTAATATCCTTCTAAATGTACAATATCCATATTAATATTCTACTCTTTAGTTGAGCTGTTAATAACTCGTAGTTTCCTTTATAACATATAGAGCGATATTCAAAGTATATTTTTCATTATACACATTTTCTTTCAATGCTCTCTATCTCGATTTTCACCACTTTGTGTCACAGTCGAAATTCACATGAGCTATATCTAGCTGTAATTCAATATTCCATTTGATTTTCTTCTTGTCTCACTTTAACTTTCAATTACTCAATTTTCATCTTCTGCTCAATGTCTATCTTTGTATTTTCTTTTTCACACTTTTATTAAGTTTATGGAATTCTACTCCTTAATTTAATGGACTGGATAAACGAGACATTCCTCATCTGGTACTGTCCACTTTGTGGCTGCGGACCATCTGAGTAGTATCAGCCTGACCGTTGTGTGGGTCAGGCCTTTCGTTTGGGTACTGTCCACTCTGTGACTGCGGACCCTAAATGATCAAAGTTCAAGATTTAGGATATAGTATCAGCACTGACCGTTGTGTGGGTCAGGCCTTTCGTTTGGGTACTGTCCACTCTGTGGCTGCGGACGCTAAACGATCGAATTCTACGGCCGTATTAACTATCCCTATTGGCATGCCAACCTATCCAAATCCAGAAACTAGGTTTCAAATTCCATATGTTTTGTATTCAACACATTTCAATTTGTATCATTAAAATTATTCTCAATTCGAAATAATATCATTATAATTTCAAGTTGTAACATAATGATATTCGGAATTGGTTTGTGTATACAACTCTTGTATTTGTTCATTTCTTTTATATATAAATTTCTAATATATAGATCTCTATATGCATGTATAACATTTTTGTTGAATTGACTTTGTTATAAATCTCACCTCAATTATTTTTAATATAATTCAATTCAAACAACTATTTTCACGTATGCATATAAGTATAGTATATATATATAAGTCATTGAATAAATTCAAGTTAACTATTATGATCCATAATAGATCTATAATCTATAAACTTACGTACATAAGTTTTGAATTTAACTCATCATGTGTATATATATATATATTAATAATTAATAATTTCCGAATCTGCTTAAGATTATATTACATTAGAATTCTACCTTATTATAATCAAAATAATTTCAAGTCTTAAAACAATACGGAGTATTATTTATACTTACAGATTATTGTCATTCAAATGACTTTAATTATTTCCTTTTCAATACATTATTTTCGAAACTTAATTGGTCTTTTCTATATGTATAGTACTTCGATTTGAACTTCTTAAATTAAAATTTGAGTCAAACATTTTATTTTGAATTTAATACATCTGTATTCATTTTTCGTCAATACGAGTGGCCTATTCAAAATTTTCATATATGTACACTAAAAATAAGAAACAGTACGTTAAATGAAATATTTCTTAATGTATGACGTGGGACAATTTTTAAAAGTACCTCTTCTAATAAAAGGATCCACGCTTACTTCTAAATACGGAGTATATATACTTTTCAAAATTATAAATATAATTCCCTAAATTTTCAATTATCTACATGTAAATGAACATTAATGATAGAATAAAATCACAATAATAGAATTAAACGATATATATATATATATATATATATATATATATATATATATATATACCATTTCAGAATATATAAGCAACACAAAAATATAACAATAAAATGTTAAAATATTATAACCATATAATTTAGGATATGAGAAGGAATGAACACAAACCTTAAACTTGGGATAACACGTATATTATAACACGTACATTTTATTCTTTCTTTCCCTCTTTTGCTCTCCCTTCCTCACGGACGGTATCCCTATTTTCTCTGCTTATTTTCTTTCGTTCTTTGGTTCGTGGCTCATCTCCCAGTTCTTTTTCTCTAATCTTAATGGTGTATACTAAGTGGTAAGTATAATTTTATTTTCTTGCAGCTGAACTTTAATGAGTGAGCTAGTTGGCCAGGTGTAGTGTCTGTTTATATTTGCATGTAATTTTTGTTTGCTTCTTCCATGAGCTTGCTGCGTGTCTTATGAAGAGAAGTCTCTCTGCTCATTCATAAATTTGTGTTCCTATTATTACTATATCAATTATTAATTGCTTAGTTTCAACACTTGACTCTTAATTAGCCATATGTCTAGGAAATTTCTGAATTGATCTTTTCTTCTTTGTTTCATGTGCATGGCTCTTTGTCTATTATGCATGCTCAATGATACGTGTAGCCAAATGTCATGAAATTTCTTATGTGGTGGTTGAGTCTTGTTTGATATGCATGGTATGATGTGTTAATATACTTCGTATATTTACTTTTGTCTTTGAAACATTTGTTTAATCTATTTCCACATGAATGTTACGTAGTATATGGCTATGTAAATTATCACATTTCATATCATTTTCTATCCGACCATAATAGTTTCTTTATCTAAAGATGACTTTAATTAGTTCGATTCAATTGTTCAAATTTTTTATTTATTTAACAGTAGTTTATTTTAGTAGATCGAGTTTAAATGAATAGCTAAAATACTCATCATAAGTATAAACTTTTGTTGAATAATTTTAATTCTTCATATATAATTACTTTTATTTTCAGGTTTTTAAAATGTGTAAATTTTGAGGATGTTACGACAAAGAGGGTGGTGAACTGGAGAAAAGTGGAGGGACAGTCGGTTCGGTAGGGGAGCTCGGTGGAGTAAGTTGATCTGGCGTGGGTACGGTTAAGGGTTGCTGGATTCAGAGGGGGGATGAGGCGTGGTCTGTTGGAGAGAGTTGGTGCTCGGTCTGGGAGTGGACTTGGGTGTGTGGTTGTACGAATAAACTGGTGTACTTGGAGGAGAGGGTATAGAGTTTCCTATGGGGATGGGAGATACTTCGGTTGGGGATGTAGATAGCTGAGGGTCTGCGGGTATACTGGAAGGAGGAGGTCTAGAGGTAGCAATAGTAGGCCAGGAAAAGGATAAACTGGAAGCAGGTAAAGTGGACTTGGAGGAAATTAGACGGGTATAAGGAAAATCATTCTCAGGGAATTGAACATCCCGGCTAATGTAAACTCTACCAGAAACAGGTTCTAAACAACTATACCCTTTATACCTCGGGGCATATCCCAGAAAAACACAATGAGTGGAGCGAGGTGAGAGTTTATTAGAGGACTTGACAATAAAATTCGGAAAACAACTACACCCAAATACACGCAAAAAATTAAAATATGGAGATTTATTAAAAAGTTTTTCAAAAGGAGTTAAATTTTTCAAAAGCGGTGTTGGTAGGCGATTGACAATATAAGTGGCGGTATATAGGGCATCTACCCAAAAACTAAGAGGAATCGAGGATTCAATTAAGATGGTCCTAGTTAATTCAAGAAGATGCCTATGCTTGCGTTCAGCAACACCATTTTGTGCGGGTGTGTCGGGACAATACTTGCGAAATAAAATCCCTGGTTTTAAAAAATGATTTTGAAAAATAGTATTGTCAAATTCGCCACCTCCATCACTTTGAAAAGATTTAATTTTCCTATCCAAAAGATTTTCAACAAGAGTTTGAAAATTACAAAAATGAGTAAAAACTTCGGACTTACGACGCATGGGATAAACCCAAGTATAGCGAGAAAAATCATCAATAAAAGAGACATAATATTTATAACCAAGATTAGATAAAACAGGCGATTGCCAAACATCCGAGTGAACAAGTTCAAGAGGAGCAGTACAAGAATGAATAACATCTTGAAAAGGTAGTCTGTGGGATTTTCCCAACTTACAAGAGACACAATCATGATTAAAATTACTAGTAGAAGAAATAAAATGTTTTTGCCGAAGCGTGTGTAAAACTCGGTCACCACAATGCCCCAAACGTTTGTGACATGTAGGTCCAGAAACAAGGGTAGTCTGAAGAGCATGAAATGGATAGAGATGATCTTTATTGGAAGCCTGAAGTAGATGCACCCCCGTCTGATTGTCCTTAATAAGAAAAGAATTTTTATTAAAAATCACCGTACAATCATTATCCGCACACAATTTATGAATAGATAATAAATTAAATTTGAGGTGTGGGACATGATAAACGGAGTTTAAGGATAGCGGGCGACCTGGAGTATTTAAAGTAACATTACCAACATGAGAGATGGGCAGTTTAGTACCATTAGCTACTTGCACATTTTTAGAGCCACTATAAGGAGATTTACAAGTCAGAATACCTTCATGAGGTGTCATATGAGCCGATGCTCCCGAATCAGGATACCACACAGAGCTATTTGTTTCGCGTGAAGGAATATCAGCCAGAGCTGGGGTCGACATAGCCAGAAACCGAGAACATGTAAGAGCCGAATGACCTGGGGAGAAACATATTTGACAAACAACTGGGAGCGGATGTGATTGATAAGAATTATCCACATACGGAAAACCTGCCTTAACACTATTAGTACCGCAATATGATAAATGATTAAAATACGAACAACCAGACGAGACATTACTTAATAGTGTACCTGAGTTTCCCGACTGAAATTGACCACGGAGAGCCGTGAGCATAACCGGGTTGTGGCGGTGGAAAATTCTAGACGTAATTGCCTTGTTGATTCTGAAAATTCTGACCATATCCACGTCCACGTCCCCGCTATCCACGAGTTTGGACTCTCCTATTACCTCGGTTTCCATGAAACCTGTCCCCTGGCCTCGGGCAGCACCCCCACAATCTGATGGAGGTCCCCTGTGGGCGGCCGCATATGCCTGGTGCATGATGGGTGGATCCCGCGAGCTAAACAGGATGTTTCTTTGCTCTTGTGCTTGAAGAACAGGCCTCAAACTTTCAATAGTAGCATCTCCAGGAAAGTATGTGACAGCAGTAATTAATTATTCATAAGCCGGACCAAGCCCATTGATAGTATAGTCAATTAAATCCCGATTACTCACAGGTGAATTTATTAGAGTCAAAGAGTCCGCCAGAATTTTAATCTCCAAGAGATATTGATCTATGGTTTGATTTTCTTTCTTCTTAATGTGAGACAGTAAACGTTTAAGTTCCATAGGCCTGGCCAAACAGGCTGACTGAAATCGAGTCTGAAGACACTCCCAAATTCGGGCAGAAAATTTCAAATCATGAACCTCCATTAAAATATCCCGTGACAAGGTGACATATACCATGACCGAATGGTCTGGTCGATCTTAAGCTAGTGATGGTACTCCGGGTTGGGAACTCCCCGGCCAGTAACATCAAATGTATAGGTTGGCGGAGCCAAAACGGATCCATCTGGAATCCCAAGGAGACTATGGGAAACAAGAAAGGATTCAAATTGAGTTCGCCACGGGAGATAATCCTCGACAACACTCAAACGAGTTGTAACAATATTGGTCACGATAGGCGTAGAAAACGCCAACTGGGAAGCCAATGAGGACAAATAAGAAGGAGGATTTGAAAAACCTAGCATGGAATTAAACTGCTGCTGCGGCAAGGGGGCAATACCCGCCTGTCCTGAAAAGGTCGGACCAGAATACATAGTATGTGACATGGACTGAGACACCGTTCCAGAAGGTGTTGCTGCTGAAGAGGATGCGTGAAGTGCAACGGAAGAAGGTACGACATTATAGGACGTTGGGGTCCATGTGAAAGCATCCTCCATATTGAAAAGACGACAAGAGTTCACCGGAGATGCCTAGAACGATGGCTGTGGCCTGAGAGCATGGTGCGCTGGGGAATTAAGCACCGCATAAGAGGGAGGCTGCGCCGTTGAAGATGCAGGCGCCGTCACCATAGCTACCTTCGAAGGCAAAGATGGCGTGGCTGTAGAAGAAGAAGTATCGGTGGAGTCGGCCATAGTAACGAGAGAGAGATGCGGCTCGTACAACTAGGTTTAACCTAAGCAACTGATACCATATGCAAAGATATTTTGTGGAATAATCACCCACCCTAATAGGGTGTGTTGATGATATATTTATACTAAACCAAGAGTTATAAAATTACAAAATATGTCCCTAGAATATATATTATTAACAAACTCCATCACTTTTTTAGTGTCTTATTTTTTGCGTTAAAATTTGTATAATTTTATTTTAAGCTATCACTCAGGGTATGTAGGTCCAAGAAAAAACAGATGTTTTATAAATCATAAAATTATTTTTTAATTTTTATATATTCAATATTGGTATCATATAAAAGATAATAAAAAAGTCATTATTTTTGATATTTTTTAACAATAAAAAAGTTATGACACTTAAAAAAACAGATGTTTTTAAAAGCGTTACATTAATTTTAATTTTTATATATTCAATACTGGTGTCATTTGAAAGATAAAAAACATTATGAATTTTGATATATTTTTTGCAACAATCGGGATAGAAATAAAAAAGTTGCAAGCTTTTAGAAAAACATGGGATTTTTCCAAAGTGGGACCCCTTTGAAAAAAACTATTTCCAAACTAGTTTCCCAATCACAATGAAAGTCTTACTCATTAATGAGTTCTGATCTAACTTGGATAAAATATTTATCATTATAATTTAATCAATTAAATAAATAAATTAGTTGGACAATAATATGAAGGGAGAAGAGGGGCTACACGTATGCCACCTCATTCTCTTCTAACTCTAAATTAAAAGGAATCTTTATTTATTTAAAATACATCTTAATTAAGTATAATAAATACGGAGTATAATTTATCACACTTAATTAATTCTATCAAATAGAACAATCCTTCAACATCATGAATTAAATATTAATCTAATTAATAATTAATTTCTTTTAACAATTCAATCGGAAGACATAATCACTTGTTGTGTGACCCATAGGTAGGGATGGACCGGGCCCGATTCCGGTTCCAGATCGGGCGAGCTTGGTTTTTCTGGGGTGAAGCCCGGCACCGGCCCGGGAAGCTACCGGGACCAGTATAAACAGCGTAGTAAATTTCAGATGATCATTTGACTTGTCTTTCCGGTTGATCATGCCAGAGTATCTACGCTTAATGAAGAAGATGCTAAAAAAAATCATCATAAAATTACACTGGGAATTGCCCTAAATGGCGAAGGCCGAATGGAGCCTCATATATAAGGGGTGATTTGTTACTTTTCCCTAATAACTAAATGGGTCACACACATTGGTATCATAATAACATTTATTTATACGCCATAATCAATTTAGCATCTGGCTAAAGTGATTTAATTCCACTTTTGATCTCATTTTCACATTTACTCCACATCTTTCATTTTGTCTACTTTTGATACTCGACTAATGTTTCTTGACCATTTGACGTCCTTTTCCGGCGATTTAAATCACCGGAATAGTTGACGGAAGGATTATATGTGGGCGAAAACACAATAGTCGTACCAAAAATAGTCAAAGATGTGGACCAATTGTGAAATTCGTGTGATACTCGTGCATCAAAAGTGAAATACAAGTATATTCTTTAAAACAGGGCACCACCTGGCCGGCTGGCCAAAAGCTGTTTACTTCTCGATGGCTGACCGGAGCACCGTAGATCTGCCTTCTCTGCAGCTGATCCCCGGCCTGCCGTATGACGTCTCTATGCGTTGCCTGGCTCGGATCCCTCCTCTATACCACCCCACCCTCTCTCTAGTCTGCAAGTCATGGAGCTCGGCGGTGCGTTCGGATGCGCTCTTCACCGCCCGGTCCCCCTTCCGTACCACTCAGGCCTTCCTCTATTTCATCCTCCGAATCAACTCTTCTTTGCACCTGTACGCCCTCCTCCCATGCCGGGAACCCAGAAAGGCTGTTTCTCTCCCGTCAATCCCATCAGCGCCTATCGGCGCCGCTTTTGCAGTTCTAGGTCGTAAGATTTATGTAATTGGAGGGTCCATTAACGATATCCCATCCAACAAGGTGTGGATTTTCGATTGCTGGTTCAATCGTTGGGAAATGGGGCCGAGAATGAAGGTCGGGAGGGAGTTCGCGGCTGCAGGAGTAGTGGGTGGGAGGATATATGTGATTGGCGGCTGTGTTGTTGACAATTGGGTCCGTTCAAGGAACTGGGCAGAGATCTTTGACCCTGTTACCGATTCTTGGTCAGCATTGCCAAGCCCGATTGACATCAAGGACAAATGGATGCATGCCAGCACGGTAATGGACGGTAAACTGTATGCAGTGGCGGATAGGGGTGGGTTGGTGTACAACGTTGGGGTTGGAAGGTGGGAAACTATCCCGAAGCGGCTATACATGGGGTGGAGAGGTCGGCCTGCCGTGGTGGGTGAGGTATTATATTGCTATGACTGTTTGGGTAACATTAGGGGATATGATGTGAGGGAAGATGGGTGGAAGGAGTTGAAAGGAATAGAGAAGGGGTTACCAAGATTCTTGTGTGGTGCCACAATGGCTAGTTCTGAGGAGAAGTTGTGTGTTACATGGGAAAGGAACGGTAGTAGTGGCAAAGAGGCTGAAATAATGTGTGCCCAGATTAAGGTTGGAAAGGATGAAAATGGGGATATGCGTGGGATTCTTTTATGGTCAGATATGATTCTTAGTGGTCTAAAGGGTTCCTCAGTTGAGCATTGTATAGCTGTTCATATGTGACGATGGGTACAGGTGTATCTTACAGGGGATGGAAATCGGGTGTTGTAACTCATAAAGGTTGTATTTTTAGTTCAAGTGTATTTTTGTTTCAAATAATGTGTGCATAGATCAATGAAAAGGATGGGTATATGGCTTTATGTAAAATTCTCTCATTTTCAGGCATGATTCTTATTGTTTGAAATGGCACTTATACAAAACATTGTGTCTCAGTTACTATAGATATACTATAGAGTTCAAAAAATGATGTGACCCTCCCTTACAGATCTTGCTCCACCATGATTGCATACCTCAGAGGAGGACCCGAGTTTTATAGCTCAAGAAGGTTGTCCTATTTTGTAAGTGTATATTTCAGGCTTTGTTGAAGTGTTGCTTGAGACTTTGTGATTTTGCTCACTTGTTTGGTGTTTGCTGTAGTTGAGCAGTTTGTATCCATGTTATATATAGATCAATGAATGAGCAAAGTTCCTTCACCTGTGACCCTAATTTGACAATCTATTCATAATTACAGTAACATGAACTTGTAATAAAATATTGTCTGGTCTGTTGTGTTAAGCTTTAACCAAGAGTAAATGATAGTAGAGAAGTTTCTTTGTAGCTCACTAAGTTATTCCTTCAGTGCTAGAGATTATAGATCATACCTATGCTGCATAAGTCCATTTACTTCATTTTGTAGTTCACTCTATATTATATTCAAAGAATTCTCATATTTGACTACAAGAAAATGCAGAAATGTAGAATTATGCCATGGTTGTTGCCATAAAGAGCAACTGGGAAATTTGGGACAAAGATTAAGAAATGCTTGAATCACCCTTTGAATCACCCTTCACAGATTGAGTGAGGCTATGCCCTACGCTCTCACTTGAAAGGGTATTTTTATCACATCCATGGTATTCTTAAACATTTCTCATCCTTAGATTTATTCGACGCAATGAATATTTTACTTATGACGAGAATAATCATGAAAGTCATCCGTAGTCATCCGTTCTTTTAAATTTAAAACTTTATTAACACATGTCATAGCTCATGAGCAAATTGTCACAGAAATTTACACCAACTAACGGATCAAGGATATAACACATGCAGCAGAAGTTTGAAATCTTAGAACACTTTTTCATATAAACATGTCATGGTTGGGATGAGAAAAAAAGGTAGAAAAAAAGCCAAAATGAAAGCGTAGGAGCATCCACCCAACCAGAAGTATCATCAGGGGTAAGATCCTGATGTGTATCATCAGATGAAAAGCACATAGACCAAAATGTGTATAACACTGCATTTCTTCTCCAGTGTCTTTCTTCCAGAGGTTTTCTATTTGTTCAAGCGCTTGGCAACAAGTAGGACCAAGTTAGATGACCAAAACCTTGTTGATTTCTACACAACATCGTCCCAAATATATTATCTCGTGTCATTTTGGCACGAATCTTAAGCAAAAAGCATCTTTATGGTGTTTCACTGATTCTATGATGTCATTACTCTAGCTAAGTTTTGGACCATTCAGTTTTGACCATTTTAGGAAATCACAATTATCAATCATCAATCATCATTTACCCCAGTGCCGCAAAGGCTCCCTACGGTGGGGTAAGGGGGGTCGGATGTACGCAGTCTTGCCCCTGTACTAAAGCACAGAGAGACTGTTTCCGGATGAAAAGCCTCTAACACCTATGTAGGGATTTTATTTCTAGAACAGTGGAAACACACAATTTGTAACTACAAAGTACACTTTTCACATATGCAGGGAGTAATATTTGTAATGAAAAAAGTTCTTTTACAGCGCACATGATTGTTTAAGGCTTCCTGGAGCTCTCACTTAGTGGTTCAGGCAAAAAGGTCTTCTCTCTCAACTCACACCTTCAAAAACTTCCTCAGTTTAATGAGATCAAGTATTCTCCTAAATTTTTAAAGAATTGCTGGGGATAGCTCAACAAGTTGAAGAGAAGTAAAATCATAGTAAATTTTTATTCAACCTAAGTGTGTAGAAATTGTCCTTTTTGTTTCATTTGTTTTCAAAGGACACCAAAGCCATACCTGATATGAAATAAACTTTTGGTTCCGGCCTCCGGGTTAAATCAAGCAGCCCGATTGGGTTGTTGTTGTGAGTTTTTATCTGAATATTTGTTGCAGTGGTTTCTCAACGGACTAACTTAAGCCTCCTGAAGTCTTGAGTATGGACTAGAAATTTATGGATTAGTAGATACCACTTCTGTCAATAAAGAACAACTAAAAGTCAGCCTAGGTGCTGTTTATGCGGCAAGGCGCCCATAGATCTAAGATAACTTGAACCAACCATCTTAAGCTTAGTACATATGCTTAATTTCTTATGACTGTGTAATGTGCATTGCATGTTGGTAATGTGACTCACAATTCCTGCTAATGACTCACACTGGTCAATCTTAAAATTATGTTTCTTACCTCTTTAACTTGTGCATTTTTTCTGGGCACTGTATACCAAAATTTACCCAAAATGTGATCTGCAGCAAGCAGTTTACCCATTCAAATTTAAACATCAATACAAGCTGGCTATTATCTATTTTTCTTGATCTTAGACAGTTTATTATAAAAAGTATATAGTAACTATATTCGTTTTGTCTCCCTCTTCAAATTGTACATAATGAAGATCAAAACTCTAAAATAAATCGAACGGATTGGAGCAACCTGCCATGTAAGTTGTTACTTTTACTTTCTGCAGTTTTTTATGTATATATTACTGCGTACTAAATAGAGGCCGAAAGACAAACAAGATGTAAAAACTGTTTTTCATCTTCCCTTTCAAACTATCCCCTTCCACTTTCTTTATTTACTTCCCTTTCATCTTCTCCATTTACTTTCCTCTGTATTTTTATACTACGTATATTATTTTTGAACTTGTTATGTTTTTAAATTGATCAATGGTGAACCCATCAAATTGAGAAATGATAAATCGTACTGACTCGTATGGTTCATTATCGGTTACTAATTAAGAAACCCCCTAAGTAAATTAGTGTTCATTGAAATTGGCTGAATCAACGAATTCTGTTGGAATTTATGAAGTTTTGGCTAATGTGACTAAATTGTTTGTCTGTTGATTTATGAATAAGTTATATTTAAAATATATTTTATTCATAGAGTAAAGATTTTTTTTAAAAGATAGCTAAAATGAACTCTACAATGGTTTCAGCCAATTAAATCAGAAAAGTAACTTTAACCTTACTTTTTATTATTATTACACAGATTAACGTGCGAAATTAAAAGTTATGTGTTTGGTGAAAAAGTTGGGAATAAAACTGATAAACCGAAAAAAGAATCACCAAACGAGCTTTATGTACTTCAATTCCTTTTAGGATGGGATTAAACATTTCTATTTTTGCATTTCATTCAAATGTTACTCTTACTTAGATCAATTTTTATAATTAGTTTTACAAATCAAATTCATCTCATTTGCACCAATACATCCCAAAATGCCGTCCATACTCTAGTAAGGATGGCAATGGGGGCGGGCCCCGTGGGAGAGTTGGGTGGGTGGTGGGGCGGGTATGTGGGTGGGAGAATTATTTCCTCCCCGCTTAAATTAGGGGCGGGTAATGGGTTATGCACCCCCGTCCCGTCCCCCGTATATTACACATATTAATAATTAATAATAATAATAATCACAACAACAACAACAATAATATTACTAATAAAAAGTAGTAATTAAAATAACAGGGTGGCCTCGTGGATTTAGTGGTTTACTATCTAATGGGTTGTGCCTAATATGTCTATCTAATTCTTGTTAATAACTCAGCTATCTTGTAAAATTGATTATCAAAATCATGAAGTAAAATGAATTTGGGAAAATTATAAAGTGATATTACCTTAAACGCCTCAGATATAGTGTGAATGTTTTCTTCTTTTACTATTATAGTGCAATAATTCTTTTCTTACGAATGCCATCTTTATGGTTGTAGTTAAGGCTATTAAAAATTTGGTGATCATAGGTTGTCCTAGATGCTCTCAAATAATCATGGTTGATTGAATGCAGAGTTAAAGAAAATATTATAGAGCTAAATAATGCTAATAAAGTGTTTGATAAAATAGCTAAATCAAAACGTGTATAATATGTTCTAGATTTGAAATGGGATATAAGAATACATTGACACTTAAAATTGTTGTTTAATTTTTGAAATTTTTCAGGGTCCAAAATGGTGTTAATTTTTGATGAATAATTCCCCCGTTGGGTATCCCGTGGGTCTAGCGGGTTGGGGCGGGGGATGGGGCAGGTCGAATAGTAGTGGGGGATGGGGAGGGGATGAGGGGGATTTTTTACACATGGGGCGGGGATGGAGGAGTGAACCCCTGCCCCATTGCTATCCCTAGACTCCAGTCTCCCATGACTATGACTATCTAAATGAGTAAATGATTTAAGGTTCATCTAAATAAATAAGGAAACATTCTATTTGTACACATAATTTCTACACACTTGGCAAACTTTCCCGTATACACAAACATCCCGTTTAAGAAAAAACAACAATTATCTGTGTGCATAGACGAGTGTAAAATATACAAAAATGTGTACACTCTCTAGTTATCTTTGTAGACTGACAAAAAAAACAAAAAAAAAAAGGTAGCAATTGTCCATGTAGATAGAAGAGTGTGTCAAGTGTGTACAATTTTTGTGTACACCAAGAATGGTTGATAAATAAGACTGCTTACATAGTTCATTGCTCTTTCCTCAATGAATCATAACATCATATTCATTTCAAAAGACTGCAAATCCATATTCAATGTGTTATAATCAATTAATCATAACATCATATATACTGTATAAAGATCTGCCTTCAATATTTTAGACTTAGGGAATCATCCAAAATAAGAGTAAAAATAATATGAAATTCGAAAAAAAAGTAATTACTATAATGCCGGGAAAATACAGTACTTATAATTGTGACATTAGTACTCTTATATTATTGTCTAGTAATGCCTAAATATGACACTATCTTGGGAGATTCTCCTTTAATTTTTTATGTCCTATACAGTTCGATTAATTTACTTGTTATAGACTTGTAGTATTCTTGTAAAGAGTCTTGCATTGTCGGATTTCCTCTATGTTTACACCAAATATACTTTTCTTTAACTCTGCATATATTATACATATGTGTGTGTCTGAAAAATCTACATTTGGATATGCATTTCAAAACGATCTTAGTTAGTTTCCAAAACTAGTATAACAAGCCAAGTATATTTCCCACGGACTCATAATGTACACACTTTTTGAATAAAATTTGGAATGTCATTCTTTAAGTTTGCATAGGGCTGGGCAAAATAACCGAAAAATCGGTATACCGCACTTACTGTACCGAAAAATACCGGAAAATACCGGAATATTGGTATACCGTCATTTTCGGTACGGTATCATACCGTACCGATTTATTTCGGTACGGTAACGATAAATGTTTTCAAATACGCGATATACCGGTATAATACCGTACCGACTCCCTACCCAAAAATTACTTTAAATTCTAAAACATTGTAAAAATCTATTACAATTTTGAATCCTAAACTTAATACTTTGGTTGGTTACAAATATCAAAATACAAAAATAAATGCCCAATTTCCCAAACCCACTATAACCTTCTAGGTTTCTATTACATAACATTCAAATAAACTACCCAAATGACTAATGAGTAATGTACTAATGTCTAGAAACAAGTTCATCTTGTCCCAAGAACTTACGAGTCGCAATGGCTGAGCCGCTGACGAGTGTGACGAATGTATCTACATAGGGATTCCGCGAGTCAAAACATACAACTTTGCCCAAAAGTCTTATTTAAATATATTTGATTTTTTCCCATTTTCAGTCCCTCGACTATTGTGTCAGCGACACTTTTGGTACTCGACTTTTAATTTTTCCATTTTTAGTCCTCAACTATTGTGTTAGAGACACTTTTAGTCCTCGACTTCAAAGTGTTCCACATTTAGTCCTTTGATATTATCAAATTGACACTTTTAGTCCTTCTACTATGATTTTGACACAATAAGTGACGGACTAAAAATGTCACTATTATAATAGTTGGGGGACCAAAAGTGTCACTTTTATGTAAGTCGAAAGACTATAAATGGAAATTTTCAAAGATGGGTACCAAAAGTGTCTCTAGTATAATAGTTGAGGACTAAAGGTGGAAAAAATCAAAGTCGAGTACCAAAAGTGTCAGTGACATAATAATCGAAGGACTAAAAGTGGAAAAAACTCAATATTTTTTAAAAATTATAAAATGACTAAATACACAATCATATTAGGAATAAATGATTTTATATCCATATTGTTTGAAAAAAAAATTATTTTTGTTAGAGATCACTATTGATTTAATTATATCTATATTATTCAAGTTATTTTAGGAGAATGTAAAAAAAAGAGAATGTATTACTTTTTAATATGTGGCATGTTGAACTACTTAAATATACTAAAAATAATTATTGTTCAATATTGAATATGATATCAATAGATTATTAATTGTATTTTGAAACATTTTAATAATGGATTAAATATGTCGCTAGTAACACCGATTTAGTGTATTTTATTAATCTATGGTAATTTACCGATACCGTACCGTTACCGTACCGAAACTTCGGTATACCGAAATGCGGTATACCGAAACTTCGTAATGTAACAGTATATAAATTTTGTATACCGAAAGTTTTGGTACGACAAATGTATGAAAGAAAATATTCGGTATACCGTACCGAACCACCCCTATTCTTGTTGTGGAATAAAATATCACTTCTTATAGCCAAAGGCAGATATAAGAAAATGGCGAACATCTTTTTAGCATCCCAATCAAAGCATCATTACATACTCCGTACGTTATCTGAAGCAAAGAATATCACCTTTAGTAGGTCTGATACCTTCATAAATTGAACTTCATATGATCTTCTCCTTTATAATCCTAAAGCATATGCACATTCAAGCAACAGAAAACGAAAAAAATGGATCTTGAATTCGGGTTCAAGGTCACAAGAAAAAATGCAGATGAATCCAGCTCTTTGAATTATCAGTTTTCAAAAGATGGAAGCAGCCTTCTTTTCCAGTCTAGTGAAACCAACACCATGTTCATCTTAACAGCCCATCTTAGAGGTTCTGCCTCTTCAACCTCCCTCCCATTCACGCCCACCACCTTTTTGTTTTTTTTGTCTTCTTTAATTTGTTATGAAACCTGTTGCAGGTTATGAGGAAGATGATATAAATATCGAAATAAGCCAGGATGGGACTATACTGGTGATAAGTGGTGAGAAAACGGTTAATGTGGCGGTTCTGGTGGGATGGTGGAGGTACAAGAATGGAATAGAAACCATGAAGTTCAGGAAAAGGTTTAGAATTCCTGAGGGAGTGGATTTGGATGAAATAAAAGCCAATTTTACAGAAGGTGATGAATCAATGTTAACTGTCTCAATGCCAAAGACAGTGAAAGGAATGTCCGGGACAGTGATTGAGGAAATGGAAGAGCCAGATGTTATGAGACAAGGCTCTGAAGCTCTGCAAAGGACCTCCAAGGAGTCTGATATCATCAAGTCGGGTGAAGAAACAATTGAAGGTCATCAAGATAATTCGAAGGCGCCATCTAATCATCCGTACGGTGATCAAAAAGAGGATCAAGAAGCTCTCCCAGAAGAGGAAATGACCAAAGATCATCATCAAGAAATTGCAAAAAAGCCCCATGATCAAGAAACCAAACAAAGTGCTATCGTCCATGAGTCCTCCCCTCAGGGAAAAAGCGAATCAAGTCCAAAAGAAATGGAACCTAACCATGACCAAACAGGCGATCAAAAACCCGAGTCTTCGTCAGGTACTAAGAATTGAGGTTCTATCTTAAAAAATCATTTCAGTAACCAGAGATTTTATATGTTGATTTGTACAAGTATATTTAATCAATATGGAATGATCAGGAGCTAAAGCACAAGACGAAGAACATGAAAAAGAAGACGTGCTATCTAAAAGAGCTGAAGCACATGAAGAAGAAGAATATATATTACCATCACGTGAAGCCGAGGTTGAAGAAGGGCATGATCATCATCACACAAGGGGAGAAGAGGGCGAAAAGAAAGAAGATGAAAGTCGTGAGAAAAGCAGCATGCTATGTACTCCTATTATTTATGTGGGCTCGGCATTGTTCCTTTCTCTCGTAACCATTTTGGTTCGATTCTTTAGATCTACAAAACAACCCCCGAGAACGAAGAACTAATACATAGACGCTTTTAAAAACATGATAAATGTTTGTCTAATTTGTTTGATAAGTATTCCATGTATATACTTCTGAGATGAGACATATTAATTTTTACTGCAAGAATGTTTTCATTTGGATGTTGTTGTAATGTTTTCATTTGGACCAAGAAACTGAAATTAAGAAGTGAAGGATGTACATAGTAATCATAATATTATCCATGTGCGTCGTCCGTATACATACTTCTCTCCAATGAAAATGAATTCATATTATTATTTGTGCCAAGGTTTGACACTTGATTTAACATGATTTGCCACATTAGTTATTGTTCATGTGAATGGATTACTACGGACTACATAGTATTATTTTTGAAAGTGAACATTCATTAAAATAATTTGTTAAAAAATAGTACTCGGTAAAATCTCTTAATCTGGGTCTGGGCCGGTTCCAGATATTTAGGCAGTCCTGTCCCGATCTTGTTCTATTTTTTTGTCCACTTCCAAGGCTTAAAAAAATTCTCGGTTGGGACCGGAAGAAGGATCGGGACCGCCTGATTCTGTCCCCAAATATGTGAACCCAAATCGAGTACCCCGTTTGGGGTGACATGCCCAATCATAGGCTCAAATCTAAAAAATGGACTTGGTCTGGTCGGCTGGTCCCGAACAGTGTCGGATTGGCCCTAGCCGTGAGTACTTTTCTCTCTCTTTTTTTTGTAATGCAATTTTGGATCACGCTTTCAATAGCTTCGTCTTCACACGTTTACGAAAGTGATACAACAGTTTTAGTAAACACCAATTAATGTAAGAAATTGATAGTTATAATAAACATTAAAAATTAAGATTAATAAAATATGGTATATATAAAATAATAAATTGTGGCTAAAATAATTTATAATGTATCTTTGGATAAATCAATGTGTATTGTTGTGAGTGAATTTTACATATAGGTTAAATATTACATTAGTTTATGAGATATAAAAACATATTACTTTTTAAATTTTATTACTAACTTTAACATTTAATTTCCTGCTTAAAGCTATTAAGGGAATGTTTGAAAGCTAGTATTTTCAGTTTATCGGTCTTATCCGTCATTTTTGCTTATCAAACACATAACTTTTTATTTGGCGCGCTGAATTTTATAATATTCAACATAAGTGGGTTTTAAGTTACTTTTGTGATTAATTGATTGAAGTTAGCGTCCAAAATCATTGTAGTATTTTTCGTAATTTTTTTCTTCATTTATAATTAAAAAATATTTTAAATATACTATATCCGCAAATGTGAAAATTAGTGTAACTTTTCATTAGTTTCAATAGATTCAACTCATTTAACCGATTTCAATGTTACCAAAAATGAGTAATAAAAAATACAATCTAAAATCTTCCAAATTAAGAGCCTGTTTGGTGATCCTATTTTTTAAGCTTATGCCAACTTTTTCATCAAACGCGTAATTTTTTATTTCACGCGCTGAGTTGTGTAATAATAAGAAAAAGTAAGGATGAAGTTACTTTTCTGGTTGTATTGGCTGAAGTTACTGTAAGAGATCATTTTAGCTATCTTTCATATAATTTTTTCTTTATTTCATTAACAAAAATATTTTATATTTTTTTTTCATAAATCAACAAAATCAGTCAATCCAGTCACTTCAGTCAGAATTTCAGAAATTTCAGCAGAATCAACTGATTCAGCCAATTTAGGTGTTACCAAATGATCTCTAAATGATTTAATGTTCTTGGCCCAGATGTTTAACCCGGTCCAATTAGAATTGGCATGCCCGAGAAATAAGGGAGTGTTTGCAACTGCTTCTGCTTAAAAAAAAGCACTTTTGGAGAAGTAATGAAAAAGTGATTGGTAGTAAAAGTTGATAGTGTTTGAGAAAAAAGTGATTTTGAAAAGTAAAAGTTGGTAGTGTTTAGTAAAATAAGTGCTTTTTGTGTAATAGAAAAGGGAAAAGCACTTTTCACACGCAAGCCGAGAAAAAGTAAAAATTGGTAGTGTTTGTTAAATAAGTGCTTTTTAAAGCCAAAAGCTGAGAAGTGCTTTTTTTTAAGCAGTTGCAAACACTCCCTAGTTAACCCTACTTCCGCTTGTTAGCTTGTATTTCCACCGTTTCTCTTCGGTTAACCAAATCATCTCTCTGCTGCTCATTCTCTCCGACGATAGTACCCCATCGTTCGTCTAATTTCCTCAGGTTAGTCGATTATTATTTACTGTCTTCTTATTTTATATGCTTTTGAGGATCGTTTTGTATCTGTTCTTTCATTTAAACGATGAATGATTTTCTAAACTAAGGAGTTGTAATAAGCTGTAGTTGAATGACCACCCAATACGCTGGCGGTGTGTCCTACCTACGGAGGAGATCCAAAAACTATGCATTTTAACTGCGAGTAATACCTTGTATTATTTTGATAAAATCAAATCGGTAGTTTTCCCCATAGTAGTCTTTTTTATATATGAATAAAACAATGGACCGGTTGTTTTGGTTGTTTTCTGGAGTTATTAGCATTGGCAAGTGAGGATATCTTTACTTTGGTGATTTTGTTTGGAATGATCCTTATGTCAATGCCAATCAAACTTTCATTGCCTCCAAAGTAAAGAAATAACTCTGCACAAATACCTAAAAATCTTTTGGTTTTTAAAATTAAGGGGCAAATGCAAAATATTATTATCTGCTTGTGAGGAATTCTTTTCTTTCGGTTGACATCTGCCCAAAAAATGAAATAAATTATTTTTGTAAACATAAAAACGCCTATTTGCTGCAATTTCCTATTTCAGAAAATAACTGAAATACACCTTGACACTTTGCTCCTCCCCCAATTGCTTTAGTTACAACTTGCCACCAATTAAGTTAAATAACTGCAATAGTTGAACTTTTTCTACTGTCATGAAACTATAGGTCTAATATTTCATGTTTTTAACTAAAATCAGAATACGTTGGAAATAGATAAACCATAGATGTGAATATAACGTTTATCACAAACCTTTAGAAGATTTATAAGCATTTGTACTTATATTTAGAATGTTGTATACATACTGGGCAGTGTAATAATAATAGGAATACCATGTATTATTATGAATATTAACAATAGGAGTTTTAACTTAAACATGTTATTATGACATAAAAGTATAATACTCTGTATCATTTAAAGAACCCAATAAACAAACCTACTCCAGCGGTGAATTGGAACCACGAATGAGAAATACTCATTCTATACTTCCTGGGGTTAGTTGATTATTATTACTAATTGTCTTCTTATTATTACTAATTGTCTTCTTATTACTAATTGTCTTCTTTCATTTAAAGCATGAATAATTTTCTAAATTAAGGAGTTGTAATAGGCTGTGTAATGACCATCCAATACACACTGGCAGTGTTGCCTTCATACGTAGGAGAGCCAAAACCCCACAGATTAACTGTGAGCACGTTTCCCTAAAAAAACTGTGAGCACGTGCCACGTCATCGTGTGATGACATCATGATGATGTCACACTGATGTCATCAGTGTCAAGCAGGACCGTGTCAAGCATGAACAATTGCTTGTTTTTTACCGCCGCAGAATGAAGGTTCCAGAGTCTGGGTTGATGCGTTTCATAAAGCGCACAAACGTGAAGATCATTTATGATGAGAGAGTTCCGATAGACGAGGCTAAAATCGTCTGTCGGCAAGAAGATTACTTTCACATTAAGAAGGTTATAAAGGCTGAAGGCATATTTGGCAACCTTCGGGCTCTTCCTTCCTGGGCCGTACTTTTATGGAAGTATGGCTTTAGGAAGTGACTTAGGGCGGTTTACTTTTTCTTTCATTGACTCTTTTCTGGATTAAGATGTCTGTCTGTATTAAGTATTAAGACGTCTGTCTGGGATAAGTGACACTAGTATAACAAGTTGTTTACTATATGTGTTGAATGCATTGTCTGAATGCTATTCAATTAACAATTTATTCTTGTGCCGGTAACAAGTGTAACAAGTATCGATTCTACTGAATATATGTTGTCTGTTTACTTTTACTATTCTGAATGATATTGTTATCGCCATAGTTGTTATGGCGTCGATATATCGTCGCCACATCGTCGACATATCGTCGTGGCGCGAAGTGAAGATCGCCATGGGAGCTCGACTCGCCATAAAACCTTTGGCGTCCAAGATTCGTCGCTGTGTCGTCGGCAGACGCCAAAAACGCCTAATCGACGACCCAAGGCGTAAAATTATTTCATTTGGAACAGGCCCAAACCCAACTGAATTTCAAAGAGGCCCAAAATAAAATTAACAAACAAACCTATCTGCATCGATGACATACGCATGCTTCATTCTTCAGTCCGTCGTATGCAGTCGTCCGCACACTCCACTAGTTCTAATCAGAAATCTCCGTCGCTCTCTATAGTTCTAATCTGTCGTCACTCACTCATGTCTGCAGTCGTCTGCACGTTCCACTAGTTTAGCCCCTTTTTTATGTTGTTTTGTTCACGTATTTGTTGTATTTTTTGAGTCGGTTACTGTTTAGTGTTTAGTTTTGTTTTTATAATTTCCACCCCTTTACTCCAATATTAATTGTTTAGTTGTGTACAGTTGTTGTGTTGAACTCCGTTTAGTGTTTAGCTTTTTTGTTGTATTTACTTTGTACAGTTTGATTCAAAATTTAAAAAAAAAAAACTCAGTTCTCTTTTTATTTTATATTTCATGATGTTTTTGGTGTCTTGAATTTATGCTGAAATTCATATTGTGTGATTGTGTTGTCTTACATTTAATGTTTTTTTAATAGTTAGTGACATTTCAGTTAAATTATTTTAATATTTTATTACTTGATTTAGTTCATTAGTAGTGTTGGCTATAAGTGTTACATGTAGGCTTTTTAGTATGTAAAACTTATTATGAATTTATTAGTCTATATGTCGACTTATCGCCGCGACTCCGCCACGACGGGCGCCATATCGCCATGGCGGTATGGCAGTCCAAAGGCGCCACGCCGCAAAATCCCGCCGTAACAACTATGGTTATCGCATAAAATTTATGATAATATTAAATTACTGAGGAAACAAGTTCACAAAACACAATGAAACAAATTTAAGAATATTTTGACAACATATTTAATTTAAGCATTTCCTACTAATCTATTAGCAATTTCATCCCGAAAATTTGTCATACATTGTATGTTTTGGGTGCTCCATTTTGCGTTCCATCTATTTCTTCTCCGCGTTCTTGACTTCCTCCTTGTCCTCCTTGTTCATTGTTAAATATTGCATCATTATCCATACCTAAATATTGACATAAGTATACCACAATAATTCAAAATAAGCAAGCTAAAAGGCCTTATTTTTGTTTCTAGAAGCACTACCCATACCATAAAATAAACAAACTAAAAGGACTGTATTATATCTACGCAGTGCCGATCCTAGCAAAACTTGAGCCTGAGTCGAACTTCATAAAAGACCCTATGCATTATAATTTTTTGTACTATAATTTTCTTTAAAGGTGAAGATTAATCAGCATAAAAACGACTAATTAAATAAAAATTACATTAATGTCAAGGTATTCAAATAACTAATTAAGTACAACTCATCGCACAATTTTAACTGCAAATGTGATAATTAAGTTGGCATAATCTAGATGTTCAATAAATTTCTTCTCAATAGATACCATAGCTGGAGGTGCTAGTTGGAGTGGCTCTTTTGTTCAAAATCAAGTTCTTCGTACTTATTAATATTTACAGCTTGGCTTTGAATTAATGAATCACTACGAGATTGTTGAGATTGTAAATGTCACCCCAGAATTGTCCAAATTGCTGCAAATGTAGCTCTTTGAGAGGTGAAATGTACTCATTGCCCACTTTGTACATTTCACATGGTAAAGGACCCCATTAACATCAATTTGGACAATTGAGGGATAACATTTATAATTTTCGAAATACAGGTCTAACATTTCAATTTGGTGACTATTCCAGGGACTAAAAATGTATTTTCCCCTGCAAAAAAGATGAAAGATTAAACTTGACACTTGATATTCACTTTGGCTCTGTTGTTGATCGATTTGTCAAGGCTGGAACAAGGGAATAGAAAATCTCCTTAATCCCCTTTTTCTTCCATGTGTGGATTGTGTCGTCTATGGGCTGATGGGGGTTAGTGGGTTATACCTCTAAACTTGCCGCCTTCATTAACTTGGTAATTGGGGACTTTGGGGTTTCCTTTTTCAAACGCAGCAAGTCAAGGGCAGACAAAGGGATTTTAAGTGATTAATTTAAGTAGAAGCTATCATTTGAAAACACTATTTTCAACTTTTTTAAAGCCAAAAGCTGAAAAGCACTTTTTTTTAAACAACCCCAAACACTCCTTCAATTGAAGATATTGATTGAACACACCTTGAAGGGATGTGTCATGTGTGACAAGAAGCCTACGAGTAAAGGGTGAAGGAAAGGGAAGGGTATCTTGGGAATGATACGACGGAAAACAAACAGCTAAATTCTAAAGGCTAAGGGTTGGTTTGCAACTGCTTTTAAAAAAGCACTTTTCAGCTTTTGGCTTTAAAAAAGCACTTATTTTTCCAAACACTACAACTTTTATTTTTCTCGGTTTCCGCGTCAAAAGTGCTTTTACTTTTTTTATTACACAAAAAGCACTTATTTACCAAACACTACCAACTTTTACTTTTCAAAATCACTTTTTTCTCAAACACTATCAACTTTTATTTAATCACTTCTCTTCATTTCATTAAAAAAACACTTTTTTAAAAGCAGAAGCTGTTGCAAACAGACCATAAGTTTATCAGCGTTTTTCATTTTAGCTATTTGAGACCAAAAGGCAAATCAAAAAGTTATTTTAACAAACACACTTGTTGGCTGATTGGTCCGGTCAAAACGCCAATATTGGTCAAATCAGCCAAAAAATGGTTGATAGACCATTAACCAAACATCCCCACTAGAGAAATCGGTCACCTTTGTTGATCTCAGCTGCTTTACTGATTTACTCCAAAGGGGGCTTCCGGAAGTTTACTCCGGAGAAGTTTCTGGGTTTTCTATAATTTTGACACAATCTCCCCCATGTCTGCTGAGTCACGCTGTGAAGGGCGATGTTATATGACGACAGTGACTCAAACAGTGTCTAAATTAATTTTTAACATGTCAGCAATACATGAGGATGAACATCCTCCGTTGGAAACAAAAATTCTACAACAATGTTATATACGGATGACGCAACAGATCTTTTAATGTGAACAGTTAGTGGATTGGAGATGCTCTAAGTTAGAAAACCTGAAAAACTTGCTGACTGGGATAAAATTCATCGCAAGTGGGCTGGAATAGAGAAAAAGCACGATCAGTTCCCTTTGAAAGCTAACTAAAATTTAGGGATAATAATAATATTTTATTAATAATAAAAGCCACATGTACAATTGAGACTTTATGCATTGGAAGAATTTTTAATAATTCAAAGTCCTCCTAATCCACTTCGTCACTTAGAAATCCTTTTAATTAATTGACATTTGGCTTATTTAACACACACTATAAAGTTTTTCATTAGGGTTGCTCTGAGGCAGCCACTTTGTACGGCACTTTGTGCTGCCCTGATTTAATACAATTGATATAAATATTAAATAATGTTGTTAAACTCCTATAATGCTATTAATTTACTATAGGATTATTAATTTACATCAATTATATTTAATTTAATTTATGACTTGCTAGATTAAAAATTTAGTAAATTGCATTTTCTATTTGGATGAGCTTTTTTAGAACCTGTAGTGCAACCATTGCGGTGTATTTTGTTACAAAAAATTTACTATTGTAATATTACATTAATACCTTCTTAAATTTTCTTTTCACTAGTTTTTTAAATTATTCTACCCTCAATAAATGTTTGACTTGGTTTCACCAATGTCTCCAAATGGAGGTCAGAGTGCCCCGCAGAGCAGTGTGAATTTTCACCGCCTTTTTTTCTTTTTACGCCAGTGTGCCTCACGGGAGGGGGTTTTGGGCTGGGGTAAATTGGGATCAATCTCACTCAATTGAGAATTGAATCTGGGACCTAATAATGTGAGTTTTCTCGCACTTAAAATAGTTCGTAGAATAGTGGTGTAAGTACGAGTATCGTCTACACAGGGACAAAAAAAGGTAATTAAGTATTAGTTAAATTCAGCGATGAAAATAAATAAAAAATGCAATTGTGCGAGATTGGTTGTTGGAATATTAAAATGCGAATAAAACGATTAAACTAAAGGGTTTTTTCTAATTAATGACAAAGGGAACATGGATTGATTCCGGAGTAATCATATTTCTGACTGATCAGGCTTAATCACATGAACATTATTTAATTGAGCAACGCTGATGAATACTAAGTTCTAACCGATCTCGCGACGTAGAATACAATAATTTAGCGAACCAGACTGATCTCTCATATGCGACAGGTATCTAAAATTATTGTCAAAATGAGCGAGCGTACGGCCCCTTAATCGCTACTAATCTCTTAGCGATTAATGTGTGTGAAAGTGTTCTAGAAAAAATTAGATCTCTCTTAATTTATTCTACATGTAATTATAATCTGGCCTAGTTGTAGTTTTAGGTCACAAGAGATATTAATTCAATCATTCAAACATACAATTATACAAATGAACAATTATATGAGCTTTGTGGTACCACAATTTAGTAGTCCCAAAAGAAACGGAGCCTAACCGCGACTAAGGCTATGTTTGGCATAACGAGCTGTAGCTGGAGGCTGTTGTCTGAATTAAAGGGTATTGTCTGGATTACGAACTATCGTCTGAAACTGAATTTTGAAATGCTGAATCTGAATTACTAACTGAATGAAGTAGACCTGTTTGGCAAAAAGAGCTGAAAGATACTTGAATAATATGAAATTACATTAAAGGGCATAAAATTATTAATGCAAAAAAATATTTATTTTAATGATATTTATATTGTAATAAGTACTAAACTTATTACAACTAGTATATACGAAGTATATTAATATATGTTCACGTGTTTGTATATATTTCCAACAAACTTAGGCAAACTGCATTTATGCAAACAAAACTTTATC